ATACATTCAAGCACAAGACGGAGGCCTGCAATATCTGCTGGTAGATCGGGCATAGGGCAAATGTGTGTCCCTCACCGAGAGCCCAATAAGTGCCCGCGCTGCGGAATGGTCAATCCGCTCACGGACCATGACCGTGATGTGAAATGCGCTGTATGCCGAGGACCCCACTCCACGGGATCCCCCAGGCGCAAGAAACGCTTTCAAGAACACCCTGCCATTCGCCGCCACCAGGCACAACGCCCGGTGGCCGCTTTCAGCAAAAGCCCAACCCCGCCACCTACCCGTGGCAGATCCAGGGAATGCAAATCACTACCCTCCAAGCCCGGATCCAAATCCCGGTTCTGGACTCAGTCCAGACCCTGGCCGCAGTCCCAATGCAGGTCCAAACCAGACAGGCCTGTCAAGAAGAGCCGCCCCGACGACGCTCGGCCCCCAAAAGGGTGAGCTGGGATAATGTGGCCCCCGGACCCTGGGTGGTGATGCCAGACACAACAAGCTAGTGGCTCTATGGCAAGAGGTCTAAACCCTCACACAATTAATCACTGCCGTTCAGAAGGAAAATACAGAATTTGAACCAACTCACCAACCTATGATCACCAGGCAGGGGGTCCTCTTCACCACCCCCACTATCCATACTCTACCTCCAACAGTGCATCCCTCAATATGGCTTTACCTCTCCCACACCCACCACGCCTCAGTAGGCACCAAACTACTATCTGGCAATGGAATTGCCGCAGCTTCCGACGGAAGCGTGGCAATCTCCAACATTACATACAGTCCCTCAAACCCCCCCCCCCCCCCCCCCCCCCCGATATTATAGCGATTCAGGAAACCCGCAGTCCGGTCAAACTAGCCAGCTATAGAATCTTCCAAAATCCTGACAATAAAGAACACAATACCCCCATCCTCACTCGTAGACATCTAACCGCTTCGTACAAAAATCTTGTCAAGAGTCGGAGTGGAGTCTCTTGGAGATCCTTCCCCAGCGGAAAGTCGACCCGCGTCCTTATATACTTAACATTGTCGCAAGCGACATGCGGGGTGTGTAGTAGCGCTGCGGTGACCGACAGGAGCGTGCGACGGGCATACCTCGGCAAACCTCACTCATGAGGGCCCTCACTCACCCTCACTCACCCTCGTCTTCACAGGTGAGGTGAGGGTGAGTGAGTTTCTGAACCAGGAAAATTCATGAGTGTGAGGGTGAGTGAGGTCCGTGAGGGCTGTGAGGGCGGTGAGGGCGGTAAGGGGTATGAGGGCCATGAGTGCGTGAGGGGCGTGAGGGCGGTGAGTGGCGTGAGGGCCATGAGTGGCGTGAGTGGTGTGAGGGCGGTGAGTGCGTGAGGGATGTGAGGGCCATGAGTGTGTGAGGGCAGTGAGTGGCATGAGAGGCGTGGGGGCCGTGAGGGCCGTGAGGGCGGTGAGTGCATGAGGTGGTGTGAGGGCCATGAGTGCGTGAGGGCGGTGAGTGCGTGAGGCCCCCTTCAGATCGAGCATCTTTCTCAGCAATTTTGGTGGTAATGGCGGGTTGTTCTCTAGCTTTCCATAGATCGACACGAATTGCTGAGATCGGGTCCGGCTCGAAATAAGCAAGCAACTCGGAGCAATTCGAATGCGTTTGAAGGGGCTGCATCCAATCAGGGACGCAAAATTTTCACGTGATACCTAGTGTCGGTGTTGATGACACCGAAAGACTTGGTTCTGGTTTGAAATCGATCGTTTTTTTTGCAAATAAACTGTTTCAGAAAGGTGCATTAGTATTCTTAACGAGATTTAAATGCATAAAAACACGTTTATAGCGCGTAATTGTGTCTAAATAGTGCAAGAAAAATAAAATTTTATGATGACGATGGCAAATTGCAGCAATTGGTTGCTGCGTGTGATTGCGGGCGGCCCGTGTTGCTGGTGTTGCGACGTAAAGTTTCTGGGCGAAACTGCCCCATCTGAAGCTGGCCTGAGTGGCGTGAGGGCCATCAGTGCGTGAGGGGCGTGAGGGGTGTGAGGGCCGCAAGGGCGGTGAGGCGCGTGAGGGCGGTGAGTGGCGTGAGGGTGGTGAGTGGCGTGAGGGTGGTGAGTGGCGTGAAGGCGGTGAGGGCCGTGAGGGCGGTGAGGGCCGTGAGGGCGGTGAGTGGCGTGAGGGCTATGAGTGCGTGAGGGCCGTGAGGGCGGTGAGGGCCGTGAGGGTGGTGAGGGCCGTGAGGGCGGTGAGTGGCGTGAGGGCGGTGAGTGGCGTGAGGGCGGTGAGTGGCGTGAGGGCCACGAGTGAGTGAGGGGCGTGAGGGCGGTGAGGGGCGTGAGGGCCGTGAGGGCGGTGAGTGCGTGAGGGCCGTGAGGTTCAGTGAGGGTGAGTGAAGGGCTGAAGGTGAGTGTGACTGTGAGGGTGAGGGTGAGTGAGAGGCTGAAGGTGAGTGGAGCTGTGAGGGTGAGGGTGAGTGAGGGGCTTAGGTGAGTGTGGCTGTGAGGGTGAGGGTGAGTGAGGGCTACCTAAAATGCCGACCTCTGGCGACGGGCACGGGGCGCGAGCTCGAACAAACGCGTGCGTGGCTCACGAGGGCCTCGGCGGCAGGGACTCCGCTCTGGCCGGTCACAGTAGCGGCTGTAAGACTTTTGAAAAGTTAAGCTGCACTGCTACTTGGCCAGGCATTCGTCAGGACGTGTTGAGTGACTGAGATTTAATGGCGCAAAAGCATCTAAGGCTCTAGAGCGCCAAAGTCTGTGACTATTTTATGAATGGTTTCTAGAGAGGAAAGAGGGCTCTAGTGGCCAGTGATAGAATAAAAGGATGTGCATGAATCTGTATATAAATAATGTGGGTGAAAGATTTAAAATTGCAAAGCAAGTTTAAAGTTGACGTAAAAGTCCAGTGCTTTCTAGGAATTTAAAAACATTTGCATGAGGTATAAAAGGTTCATCTCCAAGCAAAAGAGCAAGGTGTAAAGACATCTGTGCTGAATAAAACTGGGCAAAGTAGAATTGGCGGTGTGATATGCAGGACACTCAAGAAGGATATGCACTACAGTTAATGGTTCTGAACAGTGTTCGCATGTAGGTGGATCCTCTCGGCGAAGCAGATACCATGTGTTAGATGTGTGTGGCCAATTCTTAACCGACAAAGAATTACCTCGAAAAAACGGTCCCTATGACGGGCACTCGCCCACTCCTGTAGCATCGGCTTCACAACATGGAGTTTGTTGTTGGTTTCGCGGGACCATTCCTCTTGCCATTTACACTTGATACTTTTCTTTATGGTCGTTTTGTAATCTTGGTAGGGTATGTCGTGAATATCAACCTTCCTTGAAGCACATGTGGAAGCGGCACGATCAGCAGCTTCATTGCCGGGAATACCCATGTGACTAGGCACCCAGCAAAAGACTACCTGCAATTTGTTGTCCCTAGCCGCAGCAACCATTTTATGTTGCAGCTGAGTTATTGAAGGGTTTTTTGCTATCTCAAGGGATCTGAGTGCTCTCAGAGCACTTAGTGAATCAGTGTAAACTACAGAGTATGGATGCCTATTTTTGATAATATAGTCTGTGGCCAACAGTAAACCGCATAATTCAGCAGTCAAGATAGTTGCACTGGAATTAATTCTCCGCACACATTTAAGTGATGGTCCAATCACTGAACAGCCGACACAACAATCGGTTTTTGTTCCGTCGGTATAAAAGCTGGTGTACCCTATTGGAAAAACCAGCATGAAAATCAAACTGGTCAAGCTGGTAATTAAGGTGGTCAAGCTGGTAATCAAGGTGGTCAAACTGGTCAATGTGGTAATTAAACTGGTTTAGCTGGCAATCAAGCTGGTTTAAGCTGGGCAAGCTGGAATTTAAGCTGGTCAGTCTGGTCTAAGTAAAAACCAGCATCGTCCAACTGGAATCTGGTTTTAGATTCAATCTGGTGTAGCTGGGAGCCAGTCTGGTCCTAACTGGTTAAGCTGGTGTTCCTGCGAGCCAAGGTGGTCAAGCTGGTTTTCCTGGGAGCCAATGTGGTCAAGCTGGTTTTCAGCAGGGAGCCAATGTGGTCAAGCTGGTTTTCCTGGAAGCCAATGTGGTCAAGCCGGTTTTCAGCTGGGAGCCAGTGTGGTCAAGCTGGTTGAATTGGGAACCAATGTGGTCAAGCTGGTTTTCAGCTGGGAGCCAATGTGGTCAAGGTGGTTAAACTGGTCTTCCTGGGAGGCAATGTGGTCAAGCCGGTTTTCAGCTGGGAGCCAGTGTGGTCAAGCTGGTTGAATTGGGAACCAATGTGGTCAAGCTGGTTTTCAGCTGGGAGCCAATGTGGTCAAGGTGGTTAAACTGGTCTTCCTGGGAGGCAATGTGGTCAAGCTGATTTTCAGCTGGGAGCCAATGTGGTCAAGGTGGTTAAACTGGTCTTACTGGGAGGCAATGTGGTCAAGGTGGTTAAACTAGTCCTCCTAGGAGCCAATGGGTCGGCTGGTTAAATTGGTCTTCCTGCGAGCCAGTGGGGTACGTCAAGCCAGTTAAACTGCTCTTCACGCCAGCTTACTTATCACTAAAACAGAGCTGCCTAGCTGGCAGTCCCACTGTCGGCCAACAAAACAAAATATATCCATTTGTAACCTTGCGCGTGTCTTCTTAAGTGACGCAAGCTGTTTTGCCATTTGGTGACTATATTGAAACGGAATAATGACTGCTAACAAGCTGCACTTTCCGTGTCTCTGAGAAGTGTTTTGGTTCGTGCTCTAGTGGGACGAGGCCATAATAGTTATGACCTATACCGACATCAAGCCGTTTAAGAGTCTGAATGAAAAGCAAGGTAGTTTTAATAGAGGAACAAAATATGTGAAGCAGAAACCTAGTGTTTGAAATATGGTGAAATTTTAGTTATAGATCTCACACTGCATTTTTAGGGTGCCGGGGGGCGGGGGGTATATGCCTTTGTTGTAAAGCAATATGGTTCACCTGACATTAAAAAAAAACAAGCACCGACTGCAAAATGAAGAAAAGGTGTATTGTTTAAATGACAAAACCTTTTATTATGCCACTTATACACATTAAACGATCAAATATGAATTTAGGTCGACAACCAAATGTATATACGGCTGATTCCTCCTATAAGTATTGATTGACAAAGTACACGATCAGAAATTCACTATTTAAAACAATAAATGCGTGCACAGCTCTCCCTCAGTGGCGAGTGAAACCCGGTTGCAACTCCAAAACTTCACACGTGACCTTCCCATCGCCGGCAGTAGAAAAACCAAGCTGCTTTCCAGATTGATTGTTATTATCGCTTTCCACCCATCTCACGGTTGAGTACCACAAGGATCTGTATGAGACTAAGTGATTTATTTATTTGCATTAATGGAACCAATGACATGGTGATCTTTACACAAAGCACATTTATTGACCCCAAAAACCACAACAGACCAAAAACCACATAAACTTCTGCACACGCTCAATCATTTTAACTTGTATTAACAACTAATTGAACCCAATTCAAGTACTGAGCGTACAAGGCTACAGAACAGACACACTACAGATATTGGTGAAGTGAAAGAACTTGATAACCAAAGTGATCATTTCCAACTTCTTATCTCTAATCCAAGGATCTTAGAAACGTGTGCAGTGAATTTGTCAATATAGACGCCAAGGTCTCTTACTAGAGATACAGCATCTACCACATTTCCCTCAAGCACATAAGGGTAAAAGAAAACTTCCCACTTTCTCTATAAAGAAATCAATTTAGCTTTTAAGATTGAACGACAAGGCTTTTTTTCTACACCACTCTGAAATTGCACCAATATCAGTTTGCAATAAAGTACAATCAATATGGTCTTTAACATTTAAAAAGAGTTTCATGTCATCAGCAAAAAGAAGTACATTTGAGTGCTTGACGCATGATACTGTATTGTTTACAAACAAAATAAACAACAGTGGTCCCAGGTTTGAACCTTGGTGTACGCCAGAAGTTGATCTAAAACACTTCCAAAAAGTTGCCAACATAAACAGTATTACTATGTAAACTCAGGTAGCTCATGAACCATTCACAAAGCTTTGGGCACATGACATAAAAAGAAAGTTTGCAAAGGAGTAAAGTATGATCTACACAGTCAAAAGCCTTTGACATGTCAAAATATACAGCATCAATTTCGCCTCTGTGACTATCGGCACAAAGAAATCTAGAAAAGAGCACAAATCTCTTTCAACGGACTTTCCCTTTTAAAAACCATGCTGAAAAAGACTAAATTTTTTTACTGAGGTAATTTGAGATCCAGTTATGCATAACCATTTCGAAAACCTTCGGGAAACCACACAATAACAAAACGGGACGATAGTCACTAATAATGACAGATCACCAGCCTCGAATATGGGCACAACTATAGAAGACTTCCACAAATTAGAGAAAGTACCCCTCATGAGAGGTGCTTTGTATGTTTGAACAATGTTTGCTTCAATGATATAAAATGCCCTTCAAATTTGGAACAGAAATGCACTAGAAGGATATGTATGTTCTACCTAAGCTTCAAGAAAAGTACAAAAATGTTCTAACAAACCAAATACAGGGTTTAAAGGAAAGAAAAAATGAAAGCCAGTTTTTCGGCCCACATGATGAACAAACTGTGCATCGCAAAAAGCGGAAAGTCCACCAAAATGATGCTATCAGTAAGATAGGATGTGATGAGCACTTTCAACGTTAAAGGGATGCAGAAGCGAAATTTTGATTTCAGAAAACAATGCAGAAGCACTAGGCGGGAAGCTACAAACCCGAAAGCGTCACCCATAAATCATTATCTGCAATGGATGGTCGTATTTTTGCGAAAGAAGAGCTCGCTTGAACAAGGCCAAAAATGCCCACGACGTTGCGATTCTTGTTACCTCCTCTCTTCGGTTTGACTCCACGAGGACACAAAGAGGGAAGGAAGCGAGGCCGTTTCCCCTCCTCCTTAACTGTTCTGCAGGAAACAAGATGTCGCAATTCTCACTCAATCGCATCCTTATTTTACAAAAATATGGCCATCCGTTTCGGATATCTCTTTATGAGTGCTGTTTTGGGGTTTGCGGCGCCCCGTCGAGCATACTAACAATCTGTATCAAGAGTCCTATAAAATTTGTGTTGCTCATGGCATGCTTGGAGATGGTGTGAGGAGGTTGTCTTACATAGTTTCAAATACTGTGAACGTAATAATTTTTGAGGAAACCTAATGTTCTGAAATCTCAAGATTTGAAAAGTATGACAAAAAAATTTATTGCATGTATACATACATCACCCCCCTCCCTTTCCCCATCAATACAAAATTTTCTGCCTGCACAATTTTTCCAGAAACCTACACTTTGCAAAATTTGTGAAACAAAGCCCTCGAAAATAAAGCTGTTTAGAAGTGTTGGCTAGATGGCAAGGCTTCAACTAAATGCTTGTTTTTGGGAGCTCACCTGCACGCTTGATGTCACGGAGCGTAAGGCTGTCATGCAGCAAAATGTGTACAGCCTCACAGAGCTTGGAGAGGTGCTTCCAGTAGAGTTGGGGAAGGACATCCAGCAAGCATGGCAGTGCATAAAAAAGGAGCCACTGCTTCCACTCTGACGCCTTCCAGAAGCCACGCTCCTCAATGGAACGAGGCAGCCTTGTTATACAGTGGGGAGGCTTGATGCTTCGTAGTCGCTTGTCTACCTTGACAACAGACGCACGTGTACCTGCAAACCACATTTAAACTCTTCAGTGATTAGAACACCTAGCTTCATAAAGGAGTTCTTAGAAAAATTGATTTCTTAGATCTAGACAGTAAATTTGAATAAAATATATTACGAAAGCACGTTTATGACAAATTTTGCAGCGTTCTATTGAAAATGAAATTCAGCATATCATTGTAGTGCAACAGGTACTGTAGTTCCTCCAGTATTTTATGCTGGGCAATCTAAGGAATTCTATGGTTTTTTACGGGCCTGAAAAAACCTCACAGGCAGCCACCGAACAAGGTAGGTTCTATGAGGAGCAAGTACGTCTGCTCCACAAACGGGGTACAGTGATGCCCTGGCGCCGAGCTCCGATTAAATGACAGGGGTACACATAAACGCTGCGTCGTCTCCTAATCGTACGAATGACTGTCATGTCCTTTTAGCAGCCGTCGAAACTCCATTGGTTCTTTGTGAACAAGGGCTCGTCCTTTGAAGGAGGGGGAGGAGATAGTTCGAAGGGTATACTCATTTTGTCGACTAAGAATGACCAGGTGCACCACAAGGACCACAAAACCCACGGATCAGATGTTTCTTTACCAACCAGATAGAATGCTGTCTAGTGGGCAGAGTTTCGTTGCAATTGTGATCACTCCCTCTTACTTTTTCGTGGCTTTGTAATGTTGAGAGAAGACTCCTTTAGGCTCGTTCACACACTTGTAACCAAGTATGACCGAGAGAGACGAGACCGGTTTTTAAGTCTCTTGCGACATCTTAGGACCGGATGCGCTGCTGCGGAGCTGGTCCAAAGACGTCAGAAAAGGCTTAGAAACCGGTCTGTCTTTCTCAGTCATACTCGGTTGCAAGTGTATGAACGATGTTTTACTATTCCATGCCTTCCCTCTCGCACGCAACGTGACACATTTTCGTTGAATTGCTTACTACACAGCAGATAAACACACTGGTGCTGCAGCAAAAATATTGGGTGAGATTGATGTTGCAACGATTCTCAAAGCCCTGTGTCGTTTAAAGGGATGCTGAACCGATATTTGAAATCTTATAATTAGTGCCCGAGCGGGCTTCACGGAATGGTACTGTACCTAAAAACGATATTGAATCCGACGGATGGGGCCCGAATTATTGTATTTCTTTGAATTAAGAGCGAATCCTCGGCCGGAAGCCGCCGGCGCGAGCGAGTCCTTCTGAGAGCAGGCGTAGCGGAACTGACGTGCGCATTCTCGGCGCCCCCAGCGCCCCTGGCGCCTCCGCGCATTCTCCTCGTTCGTTGGTGCTCGCCTTGATTCTTCGCTCGGCGGCTGTTCTCAAAGCGGCTGGGACTAGTACCACGCGGGCAGAGCAGACAGAGAGAGAGAGGAGGAGTTTGGAAAGGAAGAGATAGTCCTGTAGACTCACTCGAATGGGAGTCGTGCTAACTATCTTTGGGGGGAGGGGGAATGGGAGTGAAAGATGAGCAGAAAGAAATGAGATTAGATAGAGGTCGGGAAGCGGTCTTCCGGATGCGAGAGGGGGGGGGAGGGGGGGCCGAGGACACAGAATTCACGGGCACACGCGGGCGGGCACGCGGATGGGGCTCCGGCGCGGGGTGCGCGGCGGAGGCACGCGGTCACTGCAGAGTCGGGGCAGAGACATCCGAGTCATTCTCAGGCTCGGCGGACGTCAGGGAGGGCGGCGGAGGTACGCGATCATTCCGGGAGTGGGAAGAGTCAGCCGAGTCGCTCACAGGCACAGCGCATGTCAAGGGGGTGCGGCGGAGGCACATGATCACTCCAGGAGCCCGCGTGGTACTAACAATAACAAACGCCACCCGACTTAGCGCCTGGCTTGGCTTGGCTCAGTCTGTCTTTTGAGGCGAATGAGAATGCGCACGTCACGAAGCGAGTTTTCCACGACGCTCACCAGGGGTCGCGTAAAATTGTATTTTTCGTGTTTATTCAATTTTATACGCCTCCTCGCTCAAAACAACGCCATTTAGAAGTAAAGGACATGCTATGTATGCCATTGCGACCAAGAATTTCCACCCAAAATTTCGGTTCAGCATCCCTTTAACAAAATTAAACATAAAAAAAAAAAAGCCGCCTGGTAGCATTGTTTTCTCGGTTACCAAGCGGCGTCGGCAATGAGCAGTAGATCGACGGAAACCTTTCTTAAAGACCGCATTCATGTCTAGGGACACAAATGGACTGCTGATACTGCTAGATGACAGGTTAAATGGGAGTAAGCACGAATGACATTTGAGAAATCTTGAAATCAGCTCGCGATCCCAGTTTGGGGTGTCATGCTTGGCAGCGGCAGGCACTGGTTTGTCTATTATAAACTGTCATTCGGCACAATATTGCCGCGCTGAGGGCCGAGCAAACAACACTCTGTCACATAGTTCTAAAAGATTCCCGTGTATTCTACTCGAGGCGTAACTTTTACCGTTTCATCTTTGTTTCTCGTTCTAGAAAGTGCCTGTTCATTCTCGCCCTGAGCCCGCGACGCTCGAAGCGGCCCACAACCTTGTTGAATCAGTCTTACTTGGCATGTGAGTGGTACGAGGATAAGTACCCTGCACCTCCACCAGAAATGCCACGAATGAAGGTGACGAGAGGACTAACAGAAACGTTCTCAGGGCAAAGAATGCTCTGCCGGGGTGCATCTACTGCTCAACTTTCTCTACAAGTGCGCTCGTTGCCGCGGACGTCATTGCTCAGAATTGAGCGATTGCTTCCAACTTTTCAAACACTCGGCGACCGTGCAAACTACACATCTCTACAAGTGCGCATTGCGCAGTTGCCGAGCGTTTGGAAAATTTCAAGCAATCACTCGATTCTCGGCAATGACGTCCGTGGCAACAAGCGCGCTTGGAGAGGAAGTTCGGCCATTCATTCATTGTGACAATATCATTTGGAATTCCCATGTGAATGAGCTAATAGATGAGGCAAGAATTAAATACCCGGGCATTAACAACCTTGCAAAAGGCTTGCACATCATCTATTAATTTTCCTAGCTGCCAGATGGTGACACATGATTGAATGCTGTTTGACAATGACAAACTCTAAGGTTTTTGTTTCGTGCATGCTATGGCATTGTAACAGACACGTTAAAACGGTTACCGATGTAGTATGCCTGTCGTGAGCTTGTCGATGAAAAGAGGAGCTCCGTGACTTGTCGCACCACCCCTTGCAGAACACAATGCATGTATTCCACGCTCATGCCAGCAACCAAGTCGAAACCTGAGCAAAAACGATGTCAGGTAGGTTTTGACATGACACATTCCACACACACAAATTACCTTCAAGGTTCATGAGAGGTGATGGACCCTTGATACCATTTACAGGGCTCCCCAGCCTCTGGGCGAGCTCCATGTCTCGAACAACAAGCTCCGATGTCCTCGGAATTGGGGCTTCATCGGCGACATAGCGCACGCATCCTGCAAAAAGAAAGCAAAGTATTTAACTGATCAACCATTGCGACCTGATCAATGATATCTTCCTTGATTAGCAGGCAAAAGTGTATATCTGCAAAAGAATGAAAATTATATGTACCTTCCTCGTGCTCGCCTTTCATCAAGCAATATGGGCAGCCGAAGAACCCATTGAAAGAGACCATGTTTTGCACGGCAGCACGGGCAGGGGTATCAACGCTGCAGCACAGTACAAAGGCTTTTGAAGTGAGCTGCTGATCTCCATGGATCCATGTCACAGGGGCCATAGTGTTGACTTCCTCCACAAACTTGGTCAGAAAAACCGACATGTCTGGATGGCGCTTCCCAAACCAGAGTCCAGCCAATGTAGGGTGGTGCAAGCGCACTGCAGGGGGTAGTTCATTTACTGTAAATTGAATCGGCCACACTGACGTCTTCGAGGATTTGAAGATGGGGCTCCCATCAGTGTTGAACGTGATTGTTAGGTCACTCGGACCTAAGGCAAGCTCTTGGCGCAAGTGCTTGCAAGCTTCGGCTGTTGTAATGTCCGTAATCAAATCAGAGTCATTGAGTGCTAGCATTGACAGCGAATGATGAAGCTCGACACTTGTTTTTCCAATTAGGTGCTTGAGCTGCTTGTGGAGGTCGAGCATCAAGAAATATGACCCACCATGTCTTAGCTTCTCAGTGGACTCCTCAAAATTGCACACATCGCATCGTGCAATCGAATCGCTTGAGTTGAGGACCGTGTCACAGCATGGGCACAGATAATGGTACTTCACCAAGTTTTCCTTTTTTTTCGTCCACAGCTTCCTCAGCTTGTAGATACTTGTCGGCAGAACTGCGCTGCCAAACAAGGCATTCACAAGTGTCAATAGCTTGCCGAGCCCGGCCCACGTCGATCTCTCCGAAACGGCATACGATATAACCATCGCGATGGCGCCAGCTTTCGACGTTGGTGAATGCGGCAGCATACTAGCACCAAACTCTTCCACGCACAGGGTCAAGAGATCTTCGATGGACCCAGGTCCCATCTCCTCGTCGTCGTCGTCTTCAGAGATCACGGCTTCTTCGAGAGACTTCTCTCTCGACACCTCGCCGTCAGGGTGTTCATCATCAGTGCTGTCCCCTCCGTCATCAGCTTGGTCTTGCGATGCATGCTCACTGTCGGTGGAGACATCTCCGACGTCGACTCCATGGCAGTCTTGGGCGTCATCTTCGTCAGTATCTACAGGGTCATCACGGTAGGCTCCGTGGCAGTCTTCGGCGTCATCTTCGTCAGTATCTACAGGGTCATCACGGTAGGCTCCGTGGCAGTCTTGGATGTCGTCTTCGTCAGTACCTAGAGGGTCACTACGGTAACCTCCGTTCTCTCTACCTTCGTCGCCGTCAAGCGGTTCCGTAACTACAGAGGTGCCAGCGTTAGCCCCCTGACCCACAAGCGTCTTCTGGAAACGTAAGGTTGATACCGGGATGAGGTAAGGCTGGTCTGCGTCTAGGTACCGCTTTCGTCGTTTGCCAGGAGTAGCCATGTCATAAATATTTCGGTCGCCAAACGTAGAATACGAAGGATATCAGTCAAGAAGTCTGCCGGACTTACACACAAGCCCACAAGCACAAGGATTGGCTAGATGTTTGATGACCGCTAAATAAAAAAAAATCCCTCCGCCGCAAAGAACGTCGCGACTCGCGAACACCCAATGATTTGAAGTAGTCTTCCGGAGTTCCGGATTTCAGAGAAAAGAGTCAACTACAGTCACCTCCTTCGTTCAAAAAACGCCACCAAAAGATTTCTGTGAGTGCTGACACGTTTAGGAGAAGGGTGACTGGAGGTTACGGTCACGTGCCTTCCCGAAGAGCGCATTGCATTTGTTTTCTTCCTTCGCGACTCGAATGCGTCCCGTATATTGTTGTCTTGTTCCGCCTTTCTGAAGCACTACGGCCGTCATTAGTAGAAATAAATATTATTTATTGCTATTACTGTCACACTGCTAACAACTTTTTTTTCCTCATTGCTTTTTTTTTTTATTTTTTTTTTTATGTGGGTTGTTTGGCTTTTACACCTGACGTCAGATTCGATTCGTAGCCTCGTCGGCATGGCCGTGTGCCGTGTTCCAAAATTTACTCGACCTTACTCCAGGCCCCAGGATAAGTGCTTGGTACCTTGGCGTTCCCAAACTTACCCGCATTCAGCGCTTTACAATCTGTGTTGTCACGTGACACGACCCGCCTAAGTAATGCGGATCCAAGACATTGAACGCAGCCCATGTTGGCGCGTCGTCTGCTACGCCGTGTATGCGCGGAGGCAGTGTTTCTCGAGCTCATTCGATTTAGGGTGCCTACATGTGCCCGCCGCACCGGAAACATGTAGGCACCCTTGTGACCCTGAGTTGCAGCCTCATAGAGGATAAGAGCGCAAAAGAAGAACAGGACAGGACAGAGCCTGTCCTGTCCTGTTCTTCTACTTGTCCGTATCTTTTTGCGTTCTTGCAGCCCAGCAGTTAATTCTGTTGCAGCCTTCCTGGCTTCGATCTGCCAGCTTTCGGCCAAGGCAGCGGCTACACCCGAATAACACTTAGGCGTTGGGCTCCGTGTAGCAGCGTCCGAGCAACGCCCGAGTCCACGACCGCTCAAACTCCGGCGCTTTACCAAGACAACGCCGCCACACCAAAACGAAAGCCGCAGGCGCAAGGTGCGTTCGAAAAGTACGTAGCGATGGCGGAACGGCGCTGTGTTGTGACGTCGGTGCAGGGACCCCACCCACTCCGTTCGGATAATGCCAATATCTTTTGTGAGTGTGAGTGGCGGTGCGGGCGGGCGTGACTCAGGAGGGGGTGACTGAGAGTTGCTTTCACGTGCCCTTACTGAGAACGATTACATATGTCTTTCGGCACAAACCGAACGCATCACGTTCGCTGGTTCTGCTTCTGTGTCGTGTATCGATCTCTGCTGCTCTGCTTGCTCTTTCTTCAACGTGTTTCGGTGGTTTGTGTTCTTTTTCTAAGATAGGAGGCTGTAGAGTAGATGCACGCATATGTAAAATTTACGGACGGTTGGCAGCTGATATTGCCAACGTCTTTGATCAGAAGCTTCTCGCCCCGAAATGACGAAGACTTCGACGCCACCCGGATATACGAGGCCTACTGGGTGTCGGACTGCGGCGATGAAGAGGATTATTACGATGCTCACGTGCTCCTTCTGGGCGGTAAGTTTTTTTGTTGTTTTTTTTTCCTAGGGAATGGAGGCATCTTTTGGGGTGCGAGCTTGGTCAGATATGCTTGATCCGCACAACTAAGAGACCCGTTTCGTCACTCGGCTAAGCTACGCCTGTCGGGCCGCGACTGCCAAAAAGAGAAAAAAAAAAAAAAGGCTTACCAGAGTTAGAATTTTTATTGTTTTTTTTTGTCCACTCGTATGACAAGTAAAGTTCTCGCGCTCGGTCCTGCCGCGCTCACGCACAGATCATAGCTTTCCTGGTATTTTGCGACATGTCAACTAAACTGATATTTACAAAATTCGGTTCATATTTATTTTATCTTTTTGGAAAAAAGCATGTTTAAAAAATCAGATTTATGTTTAATATATGTATATATATTCCGCAGAGTCTGTGGATGACCTCCTGAAGAAAATGCAGACAAAACGGTACCCCATTCCAAGGATTGTCGGTGGAACAGCAAAGCTCGTAGGACCAGTAGGAAAGGCAAGTTTTGCCTTGCTGTGCCACTTTTCCTTGAACCAATTGTAAAGATTCATTATCCGATAGAGATAATCCAACACATCCACTCGAAAAACAGTTCAAGCCTTAAAAAAAAGCAATCGCATTTTTAGAGTGCTGTTTTACGGCGCTCCAACCAAGTGTTCAAGTGCTGCCCGACAAGTACTGCTATGGAGCGTTCAAGTGCCTTCGTTTAGCGATTAACATCATATTTTAGTGTAGTTCAGCCGAAATTAGCACGCTTACATGATCTCTTTCTTTCCTGATAAACTAACCATAGTTATTTCGGATTTTATTTTCGTGCATTGAAAATGATATCAGAAACCCCCAAAAATGACATATTTAGCTCGCTGTGGCGGTGCAGTGGTTAGCAGGCTGAGCAAGCAATGTGTTTTACTTTATGGAAGTCCAGGTTCAATATTGCATATCACAAGTAGATTTTTATTTTCAAAAGGATTTTTTTATTTTTGTCTCCAACTTCTGCGGCCCTGCATCGCAATACAAAGAATAATATACCTCACTACCGCAACATTGCTTGATCTGCACCTAATGGTAAGATAAAGCAGTGGTAAGCCTCTGATAGGTCATATATTGCAATAGAAGTGTGGTTTGTGTTGGAAAGCGTTCTGACCTTGCCCCTAAATTTCCGCTCATCAGAGCTCTCCGACTGCTAGTGCTTGGAATGTTGACAAAATTTGAATCAGCGAAGTTCAGTCTACAGAGGCAGTGGCCTCTGCAATTCGCAGAATGTGACGGCGCACTGCCCCTGTAAAGACTTTGGGTGCCACTTGAACTATCCTGTGGAGAGCCGTTAGACGGCACTCTAGGCACTGCAAAGAAAGGGGTCAAACTTAATTTTATTTATGAATAATTACTATTACACTTTTTTTTAATATTTGCTCATAGTAGCTTGTTGTAGTCAGCATTTTTTTTAACAGTAAAAAACAAATGGCACCTTTTTAATGAAATCAGCTCGGTTTATTATTTTTTGAAGTGGATTATCCTGCGGTCTGCCGGCATAATAACTAGGGGGAAAAAAATACCGGCAGCTGCCCCCTATTGGGTCTCGTATAAAACAAATTATGAAGACTATTTGAAGCTGTAGAGTAGCTCACTGATAAGGTGTCTGTCTCGTACGCAGCAGGACCCTGAGTCAATTGTCAATGAGGGATTATATGATGCTTTTTTTTAGGCATTTGACGATATCTGCAGCATTTCTTTTTTACAATTAACACTGAAAAATCTAATGTTGTCGACGAAACTTCGCTGAGTTAAATGGAATGGGACTGCCTTTCCTGGGGTGAATGGAGGACAGCGATACTTGTACTGCCGGTGGACAGGTGGGCCAATAGTGTTAATATTTTTCTAATGAGCAGCTGCAGACTGTGATACATGCGCCGTTCGAGTGATAAACACGCCGTCCGCTCCCCAGTGATACACGCGCCGTCCGAAACTGGCGGCATTTTTTTTTCCCCGGGCTGTTTTTCATTTACCCCCGGGAAGGGTGCAGTGCTATACCATTTAATTCAGCGAAGTTTCATTTGCAACATTACATTTTTCCTGTGTTAATAAAAAGAAAAGAAAAAAAATGCGGTAAATATTGCAAAAGCCCCCCCCCCCCACCAAAAAAAAAAAGTTTGAGAAAAAGAAAAAATAAGCCCACACTGCAATTGAACCAGGGTCCCAATATGTGTGAGATAGACACCTTACCAGTAAGCTACTCCACAGCTTCAAATAGCCGTTTTCTCAATTAGTTTTATATGAGACCCAATAGGGGACAACTGCCGGCATTCTTTTCCCAGGTTATTGTGTCCCCTGCCGGCAGAATATCCACTTCCTTTTTTTTTAGCGATTACAAACCTTACTTCCTTACTGAGCGAGCCTTGATATTTTGTCTGGGGCTGTTAGCGGTTGAGTTGTATAAATTTTAGATTCCTTCTCTTTGCATTCAGAAAGTCCAAGACCTCGGTCACAAGGAGAAGAGAAAACAAAAGGAAATCGGAAAGAAAACAAGGCTGCATGACATTGCCGCTGATTTCAGGAAAAAGCAGAAGGTATGAAATTGCGCCAATATAAGTTGGAAGTGTCTAGAGTTCCTTCCAGATGGAACAATAGTCGCCACTGAAGTTCTGTCTGCACTGAAGGAATGATAGCAAACAGTGTAGAGTTCCGTCGAAGCGGAACTATAAACTGAGCAACGGGGGTACTGCTGCCGCAAAGCGGCGTGTAAGGTGGGTCAGGGGAGTTACATTTTTGTAATGAGCCGCCACATACTGTTGCTGCGAAGCAGCGTAAAGAGGTGGACCGGTTAGGTTGACACGCACGTTTCATCGACACTGAATAAAAAGCCCTACGAAGATCACTTCGGAGACTGGACATTGGCAGTTTAGACGGAACTCTAGCGGTGACTATCGTTTTGTCTGGACGGAATTCTAGCCACAGCCATACAGGTTTCATTATTTAGGCAGTTGATTAAAGTCAGCAAACACACACGTTTTTGCCCAGATCAAGCAGACGGAGACACCCAGCCGCTACCAGAGTGACATGGTACCCATCACTGTCCTCAGGGAAAAAGAGGAAGTTATAAAAGAACTAAAAAAAGAACTGGCCAAAGAAAGGAGCCACAGTCGGCAGCTGGCTCAGGCCCTGGCCACAAAAATTGGTGTGTATGTTTCCCCCTCTCATAGTTAACGAAAACTTTGAAAGGAATATAGTTTTTACTGCTTGCCTTCTGGTTCAATTCAAACTTCATTTTTCAGTAGTTGCCGCAGGAGAGAGTAGAGACACAGCCACTACCTCCGATGAGGGGCTTCCCTTTTATGAGTCACCATTCCTTGAGTGGGGTGAGTTGCTTGGTAATGTTGATAGGCCACTCCATTTTTTCTTACATCCATCTGTGCATCTCCTTCTATTTAGAGAATGCACCCTATCCAATGAATGATGTTCACTGCGGCCCAGTTTCAGTGCCTTCAACTTCTGGCACAGGCAAGTTTTAACTGCTTTTCTTTATTTTGTTTTTGTTTGCCTTGTTCATTGCTAGCCATGGATGGCTCTGAGGAGTGAGAGAAAGAAATGCTCTGCAAAATGTCAGTCTACTGTAGGATAAGTGAAACACATAGATTGCATTCACGGCAGTTTGCAGCCGTGACAAGCTTTTAGCAAGATCAGAAGACTGATGTTGCTACTCAAATTACACCATATAAGCATCTCTGGGAAACGGAGGCTCCCAGAAAGGCTCCTGCAATCGGCACAATTCTCCCCAAATAAAAAAATGGCAGTTGCGTTCGCCAAGCAGGGTGCCTTTCCAGCAGGTCTCTACTTGAGCATAACCCTCCAGTATGCTCAAAGAAAATATACCATGGTTATTCACATAATTATCATCTTTATTTTGCCCGAAAATGAAGCTGCTTCCTGGGGTGCGTGACAGCTATGTGTGGCAACTTTGAAAGATAAACACAGAAATTAGGTATGGTTTGTGAAAGTTCCTGTTACTACCCTTTATGGTAAGGAAAATGAAGCTAAGATTTTTCTTACTGTGCTGGGCTCCTAAGTAGCGTCAAATCATTAACAAAGAAGATGTGGACTGAAAATGCAACCGAAACTGCATAAATTTGAAGAACCCCTTGCCTGATGTCATGGCTGTTTGCCGAGATCTTGGGTGTATCCAGAATATTATTTCTTTCCCTTTCTGACTCTGCTGATCACGTATCTGTAACATGACAGCCTGCTTCAGCTACCCTAATCACTTGGGCCGGCTCTGTGAAGCACGTGATTAAAAAGTATGCAGAATGTCTAAATACGGAACACGCCCAGTCACTTTCACGGCTTGGTTGTTCCGCGAGGCATGCCATTGAAGCACATGCTCTCATAGTTGTGCATCTCGGCAACGAGCGAACCTTTGCTCTGTGCATGCTTTCCCCTTCACCCGTGCGTCCTCTGCCTTGCATTGTCTGCTTGCTGTCGGCGACTCTGGGCTTTTGCGTGCCGTGTTCTTGGTAATTTTGAGTCAACGTCTTCTTGCCCAAGCCGACTGGGCACTTTGTCTCGTACTGCTTTCTCTCTAACTTCTTGTTGCTTCCTTTGCATATTCCGGATGCAATAAATACACAGGGAAACAAAAATCAATTCTTTTATATACTCAATTTGAGAGTGCATTCAATACTTCGGTGCATTATAAAAAGGAAGTATTTTACAATATTTGCCTGGCCAGATTATTTCTTTTCAATCTTCTAAATTGAAAAGTGGGTCTCACGTCTCTCAAATACTACCCTACAAGGCAGCGATTGATCATTGTGCTCGCCTGTAACACATCTTTCTTTTATGTCTCCAGGATGCCCATCTACACAGCGTGCGTTGCCTGCTAAAGTACTAGTGGATCAAGCTCTGGTACCGCCAGTTGACCAAGTACTGGGTGAGTGCCACAAATACAGAAAATAAACTGACTTGCAGGGTAGGAGAGGGGCAGTGAAGGATTCTACAGTAAGCATCATTGGATATTGATGAATGGCAGGGAGGTTAAGCCTTTTTATTTGGTGCTGGCATTCTAAAATATGGTGCCTTGTCCCACATACTGTCATTGCAAGTTCCTTGTTTTGTCCATTGCCAGCAAACCAAGTGCCAACATGTCCTGCTGAGAGAGTGCAGACTGTGCCGACTCCTCCCGCAGCTCTCTTGCCAGTGGCTGACGTCCCGCCAGTCGGTCAACAACAAGGTGAGTGCACAAATGAAGAAAGGATGACCTGACTTCTAGGGGGGGGGGGGGAGGAGGGTAAAGGGTATATCAAAATGCATTTGTGAATACTATAGGAAGACAGTTAACCATTGCACCAAACTACTCCAAGGGGCTAACCTTGCTCCATCCCGCTACATTTTGCCAAAATATGGGTAATCTACACTATGCTTGTACCAAGAAACCAATTTCGGTTGCCTCTCAATACCGAAACTAAACCGAGTACTGTAATTGAGCATGCATGTGTTATATGGCGCAAGCAGATGCCCGACACAAAGCCCCCTGCATCAATTGTCCATCCGGTCTTGCATGGTTTTCCTGCCGTCTCGCGCTCTCGTGGTCTTGTTGGTCTCGTCTCGCCTCTTTTTTTTATAAATATTTTCACGATAGACGCAGGTGTATGCGGACGCTCTGACACTAGCGTGCGTGCTGGGTAGCAGCCATGCCACATGCTGTAAAACAAAACATTTTATTTTTTTGCGGCGGGAGTTATTTTGTGAGCTGGAGCACTCGTTTATCAAAGCAAGGGTCGTGGGAAAACTATATTTTTCTAACTGCCTTTCAGTCACCGCGGCCGTGCGACGTCGGGTGTTGCCGTCCCCACCTCGCTGCAGATATGACAGCTTCTAAAATGAAATTAAGTGCCGACACATGTTCATCAACATTCCTGTCCTTGTTTAAATATCCGTTACTACTGCTGTGTCAAAGTATTGATTACCTAGGTTTCTGTCGGTGGGCTTTCTTTCGTATAAAATGTACCGCAAAAGAAAGTGGGTGAAGAGAAGTGAGCTAAAGCAAAGAAGGCAAAGTGTGCACGCTGAACCCTCATAGCGCGCTTGTTTGTCGCGAGTTCAGTCGTTGCACAAAACGCTCCGTCTTGACCCTGGCTTGCGAAGTATTGCATCTATGCGCTCAGGTTCTTTTTTTGTGTGTGTGTGTGTGCTTAGCTTGTATTTTGTTTGCCGGCCTGGCAAGCACGTGGCACCTCATTTGCCGGCTTGGCAAGCACGGGCTGCTGGACTGTTCTTTGTCGTATGCTCGACAATTAGATTTTGCATGCAATTTTTGGAATCAGTTGGCGACGGAGTGGAGTGGCATGGTTTCGGTTTCGGATCTTGAGCTCCAGGTGTTGGCAGCTGCGCGGTTCCGTAAACTTTTTGTGGGTCACGGCACTCTTGAAGATCAGATTCCACCCTCTCCTCCACCAAATCACACCTGCTCTGTCCAGTTTGAAGTGTTCAGCAGTGTCATGATTTCCACTATCCTCCGCATAAGAAATAACCGTTTGCTTCAACTTCATCGTGTATAAAATTCTCTTCACACTGATGGTGGAGGATTTCCGCAAACCACAAATGCGCAGTGAACAGAGTATGATTGCGAGACGAACGCCGACAAACACTGCCATCCATTAAGTGATGTTGAAACCAAGCGCTAGCGACCGTTCGCGACTCCGGCGCTCGAGCTTAATGGATAACAAGATGATACCGGCATCGCCGCTCTCAAATTTCTTGCATGGGATGGGGGTGCTTACATTCGCATACAAACTTTTTTTCAGGCGTCTCGTTTGGAAAAGGTGGGGGGGGTGGGGGGGGGTGCTTAGAATCGCGAAAATATGGTATTTGGTAAATATGGTAAACCTTCAGTTGAGAGTGCTTCATCTATGTCAAATTCGTCCTTATTTATTTTGTGCTTTCCTACTAACAGTATAGTTCAACCCATTTTTTGTCAAAAAAGGAATGGGCATTTCCTTGGTATATTACGATACATATAAAAGTAAGCGCTTGTTAATTATATATCTTATTACTTGAATGGGTGCTCTAATGCAATTGGGGACAATACATAGTGTACTCGGTTATCAAGTGTATCCCACGGTAATGCTGTTCCATCTTACTTAAGATAACATCTGTGTTACAGGACTTCAGCTGCCAGTGCCTGTTTTGGACAGGGAAGATCCCACACCACCGGCTTTTTCTGAGGAAGATGGCATGGTAGGCAACCACATTGTTCTATTGTTAGCATTTTGTGTTGCATCATTGTAAACTTTTTTATGCCTTTAGAAGCTTCTTGCTGTTACAAAGTACTAAGTTAATGCTATAAAATATTCTCATTCACAGTCACGTTTGAAAGTAAACTGAATGCTCATCAATTGGAGTCGCTGCAAGTGGGTTCACTAGTCACACTGGTCGAGAGTGTTAAGAGCCGTTCACACATTTGCAACCGAGTACGACCGAGAGAGACCAGACCGGTCTTTAATCCTCTTGCGACATCTTAGGACCAGCTCCGCTGTAGCGTATCCTGTTCTAAGACGTCTTACTGGGTCTTACTCGGTCGCAAGAGTGTGAACGGGCCTTTAGGAGTCTCGGGAGGACTAGTGGCATCCGAGAAGAGTGTGTTTACTACGAAATCTGGATTTCGGCTATTCGAACCTGCTGTTGTGTGTACAGTGAAGTCTAGCGGTCTGGTTTGGTGCATATGTGACGTCGGTACGCTCGACTGAATGAGCCTGTTGTGGACCGACAACTCTCCGAAGACAAGCTTCATGGGGATTCACTCCTGCCATTGGCGTACCACTGTCAACATTGAGAAGGAATTTTTTTTTTTTTTTTAATTTTAGTTTGCCAATATTTTTTTTAAATATTGTGATTTTCGGGAAAATTTTGGTTTATCTTGGTTCCTATGTTTTGTGAGGTCAGTTTTAGTGAAACTTCAATCTTGATCAAGATTTATTGCAAGGCTCCATTAATGCATTCACAATATATATGGAGGAAACAATGAGAAGCTGCAGTGGATAGGTTAAGCATGCCGAAAAAGCTTAAATATAAAAAATATGCTGTACGCGGCAAAGTGCTCAGGTGGCTAAGTTGTCATTATCCAGAATCCCAGAATGACCGAACCGAGCGTGAGCAGATGATGTGCGGGCAAGGAGGGAAGCACGCACAAAACCTTTGAAAGTCGTTAGACTTTCATGACTAAGCGAATGATTTTTCATTGCAGGTACACCTCGGTGGCAAGATAAAGCTTTCGAAGCTAAAGATTGATGATTTAGTAGACAGACTCCCTCCCAAACGATATGTGAAAGATTTGTGCAGGTGTATTTATACTCACGAAGAGATGTGCGCGAGAAGTGTGACCGGTGCCCCCTGCCGGAGTCATTTGAAGGATGGGGCAAAGGGGAAGCTGCCGGTAACCCCAATGAAACTGCTGGCCCTTGCAAGTAAGTGAGAAAGCTTGTCCTTGAACAGCTCATGCAAAGGCGACTGAAGATGCTCCGCAAGATTTGAAATTTGTTTAAAATATTTTTTTGAAATAATTAAGTACAAGCATGACACTGCTAATGCAAGCAACAGATTACCATATTTTAATTTTTTTTCCTAGGAATTGGGGCTTTGCCCATCATTCTGCTAACGCAAAAAAAGAAAAAAGGATTGCCATAATTTTTTTTAATGAATTTGTGATTTGTGATTGTCATACTGGCATGGTAAAAGGAGCTAATTTGGAGAACTAACCTAAGTGGTAAAGTTTTCTGCCCATCATTCTGCTTTTAACGTAATGGAAAAAGCTGCTGATTCGGTGTTCTCGCTAACAGGGTCATGCAATGTAGTGCATGCACGGTAGTAGATGATTTACAGAAATGGAAGGATTATTTCCATGTCTTGATTATTACGGTATCTCTACTTCCTGGAGATTTCTTATAATTTTAATTTTATACCATTTTTGGTATCCTTTTGAGTTACTTTGCAATTTAAGCGAGTTCAATGAAATACAGTAGAATTGGTTGACGAGATTTTTTAGGGAAAAGTGACAGCCAATTAAGCGTTGGGAGGCTTATAAATGAGAGGAAGCAATTATGACTGCAGCTGGTTTCAGATAGAATTTCACAGCCTTGGTGAAGTTTATGGTTATTGCAATATTTGCCGAGTGTTTGTTTTTCAGAAATGTTATTTAAAGTTAGCAATTAATTTTCAGTTGCAACTTACACATGGCAGCTTTTAATAGTGAGCAAAACTTTAGAGACCATTGAGCTGACCCAGATGTTGACCCCCGTCAAGTACTGCTCCTGGCACATGAGTGCAGAGTAGTGAAGCTCCACATGCATGCTAGTATGAGGGGAACTGTACACTGTGCTTCTGCTTGGTTAAAAAGTTGGGATCACAAGAAAAGTTAAACCAGTAATAGGATGGGAAAGCAAGCAAAACTGAGCGCAGCAGTAAAAAGCTTGCATCGAGCGTCATGGCATAGTCAGTGCAAAGAGGTGAGAAAAGGGGCAGCAGAGCAGAATAAGGGGCAGCAATGATCCAACACATCAAATCGACCGCATAATATTGTACATTTTACTTTAGGGAAAGCAAACAGATTAAATAGAAATTGATACACCTATCACTACGGGAGTTTGGGATCAGTGTTAATTAACATAAAACTGAAACAATGTGTCAATCACTTCCACTATTGCACTTGTGCGATAGGGGAGGGAAGCAGGTAGTGTTTTGACATTGGCCTTTTCACCGACCTCTCTGAAATTTTATTATGTTATGACCTCACCCACAGCTCACTGTCCTTGCCCTTTTGTTTGTATAAGTTATATTTCTGTCGCTCTTGGATCATACTTCCTGAAAAGTAAAACACAAAGTTCTTAATAATTTTGGTAGTTTGAAACACTTGTATGCAGAAAAACTGTACGGTGAACGTGACATACGCACTGTCTTCAGAAACGTTTGATGAGCCAACAAGAGGAAATCTTGGAGCTTACTTTATTTGACTAAAGCACCTCAAAAAGCAGGTGAAAGGGATGGACAGGACCAAGCGCTAACTTATAACAACACAAACATGTTCAATTGTAAGGTAGCACTCCGTGCTGTCCATCCTTCTCTTGTGTCCACGCTTTTTAGGCGCTTTTCCATTCAAATCATGCACTAATTAACTAGCCCACCTAGCCATTTTATTGCTTGTTTTATTGCCTATCTAACACACATCTATTTAAAATTTCCCCAGATGGTCTCATGTACTACGAGGGAGCCAAACCCACCGAAGCTCGGCACACGGGCCCCGAACTTCAGAAGATTGTGCGGGAGGTTTTAAAGGAGTTCCTGCCCGACAACGCAAGACAAGGCACAAGAAGGAGGGAACCACCGGCACCCAAAGAATAAATGTGCATGCTTGGGTGAAACAGCACACAAGATTTACACCCAAGCCTCCATCCTCTCAATAAATGTTCCTCGAGGCATTTAGGCATAACTTGTTTACCTGTGTATTTATTTCAGCTGGTTGAATGGCTAAACTGGTTTGTTCAGCCAATTCCCTCAGCATGACAAATCATTGAACCATCTGGTCATGCTAGGTGATCTACCCAGTGTGACCAGATCACCCACCATGACCAGATCAACCAGCATGACCAGCATGCCAAGCTGGGACCAGCTTGCCAAGCTGGAACCAGCTTGCCAAGCTGGTCCCAGCATGACCAGATTAACCACCATGCCAAGCTGGGCATGCTGGGGCAATAACCCAGCTTGAAGCTGGGACCAGCTTAACCAGCTTAAGCTGGTTTTTTCAATAGGGTAGTCTTTATATGTATTTTGTAGCTCAAAGAATTCCTGTTTTAAGACTTCTAGTGGGGTATTTTTCTTAGTGTACTCAGTAAGTGACAAGTTTGTGATGAGCAGACCATGTTCCCATGGTGCTACTGTTCCCAGAAGCTGAGCAACAGGTGGGTTTGTCTCAAGGCTAGCCAAAACGGCCGCGGTCTTGTTCCGCAATGAAAAGGGAGGCTTAACAGCGGGCTTGCTTTGGAAGGTTCGTTCATAACGTGTTCCCTCTCCAGGTGAAAATATGAAGTGGGATTTCAAGTGGTCCCACTTGATTTAAAGTGGTTCCAGTTGATGTCCAGTTGTGACCACTTGGATGCAAGTGGTCCTTCAAGTGGTCCCACTTGATGCCCAGTTGTGGCCACTTGGATGCAAGTGGTCCCACTTGACGGGGGTCGCTTTCCACGAGTTCCCGGTGACGGAGATCCGGAACGACTGGCTGAAGAAAATCTCTTGCCAAGCAGAAGGCAAATCAGTTACCCAACAAACTATGTAGCATAAAGAGAAAATAGGTTCTCTTCATGTTCATAACACAAAATAGGTCGTGGTACATATAAGTTTACAGCGTCATCCTTTACATGCCGTGTTTCGAATGTTGGACGCTGTATTATAACCTTCCTCATTTTGAGCGTTTAGTTAAATATGTAGTGATGCTGATACATCTACGTACCGGATCAGCCGTCATTCACCGGAAAGAATGATGTTCACGTGTTAATGTTGCGAGCTCGCGAATTTCAGATGACGCGGAACTTGGTGACAGGGTGTATATTTTAATTATGAGCATGTTAGACGTCGTTTGTTTATCTGATACTGCTTACTGTATTCGTTACTGTTTTCGAGTTAGTGCGTCACTAATAAAGAAGTTAGTTGTCTGTGTCCTAGTGAAAATAAAAGAATAATAGTAAATATACAGCTTGTCTCTGTCTCTCCTATTTTAACCATTGTTATGAGTCTGCCTATTTTAATGGTCTATTTTAAACATTTTTACGCTTTTGCCTTTCCTACAGCATTATTTCAAGAGATCGAATATATGTTTCTTCATGTATACAATATAGTATGTTCATTACTGGCCTGGCAAAAAATTTATGAGCGGACAAGAGCCATATCTTAAAACCGAAACTAATATATTTTTATTGAAATTTGGAGTATTTCTGTGTGTGCATTCTTCACAAAAGGTATCGAACTAAAGCCGGTCGTATTAAGTGAGAAAAAAGATTGTGCGTGTGGCCGCGCTATAGGACTCGCTATATAGCTATACTGATAAGCAAACACTCCCATTGGTCTCCGTTGGCTTCACATGAACTTAGCTCTTCTCAAAGGGAAAAAATAAATAATTAATAGACCGGCAATAGAAAGCGCTGTCACTTTACTCTGTTTACAGAACATGTCAAGAAAGCTATGCGGTTGTCGACAGAAAAGGTTACAATCAAACTCGTGGGTTTTATCAACACAACCGCCGCCCGTCGCGTGTGACCGCGCGCGCAGTTGGAGATGATACGCGGCGGCGCCTGGCGGATTTCGCTGTCCCCAGCTGTGGTCACGTGGTATTTTCCGGTACACGCGCTCCCGTAGAGAGGGGAGAGCTGACCTGGTCGCCCTTTATAGAGTTGGTCGTGTTCCGGATGCAGATTCCAGAACATTTTTGTGGTGGAGATTAGTTAATCGCGAATTCCTATTACATCATCGAAACGATGTTCGCGCTAGTTCGTTTTTTAAAAGAATTTGATCAGAAGGGGTACGTGGTTCCGGTGCGGTGCATTAAGGACTTTCATCCGGTGAACGAAAATGACTTCGATAAGAACGGAGTATACACGACGTTCTGGGAGGACAATGAAAACTCCGAGAACACTGGATCGTATCCTTCGCAAGTGCTGCTTCTGGCAAGTAAGTAAGACTTAATTATTACAAATAAATAATACATAAAATTAGGAGGGCGTGATCGTATTCATAAAATACGCGCGGACGCGCGACTTCAAGGGAAACGTGTCTGCGTGGTGGTCGCGGTCATTTAATTTAATTAGGCAGCCACTGATGGGAAATATCAAATATGTCAGTCACATGTACACTGCTCGTAACGACTAGCATGCGCACGTAATCCGCATTTTCTCACTGGACGAGTTAAGAGCCCCTTTCGAAATCCACGTGCTGTTCGTCAGAAGGTTTGAGCCCACTGCACGTGGAAAGACCAGCACCGCAAACTGTGCAAGAGCAAAACTACGTTAAACGGTGATTAAGTGTTTTAGTAGTATTTATATGGCTCAAGTTTTGGTGGTTTTGATGACAGCCTTTTATTTCAGTTGCCAGTGTACACACAATTGTTATGCGAGGAATTCATTGTCCAACACTAGGTAAATGCGTAATTTTGCGTCACACTCGCTTCGTCACGTGGTAATAGTGTGACTCTTACCCCAAAATAGCAGGGAGAGAAAGAACAAGCAAAATGTGTCAATCATTTTTGCTGGCAACAGCACCAATAGACGACTAGATGACAACTTATTCATACTCGCGTAGTATATAGAGATAACAATTACTAGTCAAAAGACATTACGGGTAGCATTGGATATCAAAGTTCTTACATTCATATATCTCAAAATTGCGACCTAATGAGTGCCAAACTCTGTTGTATAAATATTTGATGTACTATTTTAAGTAATTTTTTTTTTTGTTGTAACACAGATTCCGAAGAAGAACTGCAAGCGAAGAGGGCATCCAGAAGGGTGCGCAAGGCCGTAATCCACCCTTCAGATCTTGAAACTGGAGAAAGAAGTGAGCATGAGGCACCTGCTTCTCAGAAGCAAACATCCAAACAGGTATGTTGCACTCATTTATACTTAGTGCAACTTCATAGTCTTTCAGGACTGTCGTAACTTTTTACAGGAGAAGAAAAGGCAGAAAGTGCACCAGTTGGCATCTAAGAGCTCTGCCTATCAGAGCATCCTTCAAGAGCATCTGGAAAACTCTAGGAAAAAAAATGAAGCCACCTGTGCCGTCCAGGTATGTGGTCCATAAATATGCATTTAACACAAGATTTTGATACTTTGTGTGCACAATGGTCCAAATTTTTTTACTGCTCAGGTCTCTACAAAACGACGTCGTCCTGCAACTGAATCGGACAGCGACAGTGATGACTATGTCGTTTCTGCGTCAGAGCTGAAGCGTGCCAGGAGCAAGGCGAGGTACTGGCGCCACCGCTGTGAGGAAGCCATCAAAGAGAAGGCCCAACTCACCAACATCATAGAATCTATGAATGGGACTATCGCTAGCAAGCTGACAGCCAGTAAGTATGTCTTCATTCATTCAGCTGTTTGCGTAGAAGCCTGTGGTTCTATTCAGCAGGGGTGGAAGCGCTGCGCCAATTGCGCCACCCTGCGCCAATCCACTTCCCTGCGCCAGCCTGCTCCAAAACGCCAATTTCAGCTTTTTTTTGGGTATTTTTTCAAAATTTAGCGGCAAACAGTCGGCCACTGGCCACCATGTGGTGTGTACTTTTGTTTAGGTGTTAGTGCGGGTAACTCGTGCCAACTCAACTGGGGCTCCGAACCACGTGTAACTGCAGGGCGAGGCGTCGATTTTAGTTCATCGAGAGTGAGATGTCGATTTTGACTACAAAGAGCTTGATATACGAACACATCGGTTTGGTTTCGGGCGTAGTTGGTTGGCGCGGTTGGAGCGTGCATGCAGTTGCCTGTGGTCCCGATTTGCCGTGATCGTGAGAGTTGGCGCCTCGGCACCGGTGGGCTACCTCGGCCATCAACATGAGCAGAAGTAAGTGGTCTTTACTAGCTTTACCTGTTATTTGGTAGCGTACCATATTTTGACGCTTAGCCGTTAAGAAACACATACTATGTTAGTTACGTTTGTTTTTCTTTGCGAACGAAGTTAAGAAACACGCGCTATGTTAGTTTCGTTTGTTTTTGTTTGCGAGCGCATGCACATGCGTCAACATGAGTAAAAATAAATGGGTCTTTACTAGTTTTACCTGTTATTTGGTACCGTACCATATTTGGACGCTTAGCCATGAAGAATCGCGAGCACAGGCACATGCGTTCTCGAGCTCAATCTGTCTTGTCAAACCGAAACCAAAACCATCATTGTGTGCGCGAATGTGCACACTGCCGTGTGTTGTCTCCCGCCGTCAGACCACTGGCGAAAACAATACCCGCGATCTTAAGCGAGTTGGTTAATTGGCAGTGCTACACACCTTTTTGTTTCTTTCCTTTAGCGTGGAGGAGTGGGGGTTACATCAGAAATGCCGTGCAGCACTCCCGCACTGCCGATTTCTGTCGTGAACGCACCTTAATTTGCTATAGCCACTCTACTCGTACAAGTTTCGGGTATAGGTGTATCTGGTTAGGGGGGGGGGGGTTGGGTAGAGAGAAGCTGGTGGGCTTTTTGTCACGTAAGAAGGCAGCCTGCCCCACAGGGATCAGCGCCTGATCAGCTACATCTCATTTTCAGTCTCGTTCAAACTGTCTTCTCTTAAAGCACTTCTACTGAGTGCACAAGAACTCATAAGCAAGGCTGTGGCAGTTAAGGACATGGACAAGGTGGGGAGTGGACACCTCCTGCTAAGTGATGTGAACTCTGAACTGCTCAAAGTACTCGAGCGCATAAAAGAAATTGACTCTGCTCTTCAAACTGTGAAAAAGGTGAACTTCAGTTGTTTCTAATGTACACAGATTCAGCTTAGTCCCAACCCCCTTTTTTTTAACATGGAAGCCTGTGGACTCTTCTTGTCAGTGTTTATGCTGCATATGTATTAGTGGCTGTGATATCGTTTAAGGCAATATATTTTTCTATCTGAAGTAATATAGATATAGCTTTGTATGTTAACTTGGGTGTAGGGATTACTCTATTTTATGAACAGGGATTGAGAACATTTGTATTTAATGAAAACAGGTCAGCAAGGACTGCTTTATTTTGAAACATGTTGTGGTACCTTAATTTTTTTTATGGAGACACACAATGCACAACATTTTATGGAGTACATAAGGTTGCGTTGCTCTTCTAGTCGATGCTTAAAGCTGCATATGTACGAGTGACTGTGGTATTCTCAAGATAAAAAATACACATTTTATTATGCATCTGAATTTTTGTCAAATGTCAGTAGCCTTGTATTTTGTTACTAAACTTGATATAGGGCTTTTTCAGCAGTGATTGAACTTGTGTATTTTTTATTAAACAAAAACTGCAGTCAGCGAAGGTAGTTAATCGACACCTTGCAGTGGTTTAGTATTCTGGATACATGTTTACAATTGGTCTATTAAACAGACGGTTTTGTACTGGCGTGGCTGAAGTTGTGCTTTTATTGTAGGGGCCTCCCATATAAAGTCTATCATGATTCTGCCTGCTGCCGGAATGGTTCTCAAAGCTTTTCCTTTGCATAAATTGCCAATATTCCATATTTTAATGCAATAGAAATAGAAGGGTATGTATAGTATTTTGCTTGAAAATTATTCTGAAATGTGCATGCACATATTTTTGCTACGTTTTCACATTTAGCAACAACAAATCACTTTTAGACACCTGTCTAAAACCTACTTCTACGGCTACAAAACTTACTTTTGCTGCTCCCGAGCTGTTCTAAAGCGAGCCTTTTACTGCTCCAAAACTGCTCCAAAGTGGGACTTTTGCTGCTCCCAGCCCTGCTACAAAAGGCTCTAGCCCGCTTCCACCCCTGATTCAGTGTATTTTTGGAGACTGCATGCCCGTGTTGTTTCATACATACAGAGAATACTTAATCTCTTTTGGATGGCTTACTTTTTTGACGTTGGCATCATATGCATCTGATGAGCTGTCACATTTCTGAACTAATCTCTCCTTAAAGGGCAACTCCGCTTCATTTTTGGTTTTGAAAAAACAATGCAGTCCTCTTCAGTATCGCCTAGAAAGACCACACGTGAAATCTTACGACGCGGTTCTGTCTAAATGTTTCTTAAACGGTCCGGCAAACTTTGCAACTCGCCAAGTTGCCGAAATCGGCTGACTTGAGCGGGCGAATTCAGGCGCAACCAACAGCGCAGTCGGAGCCAACATTGAGCTAAACGCCATCTATATGGCCCCCTTTTGCTTGTTTTCACTTCTCCGGGCGAGCGTAGCGCATGACGTCAGCAACGTTGCCTCTCGGCGCTCAGCAGTGTCCACGTGATTGGCGTAACGCGCCTGCGCAGCGCGTCTCTTGGGAGCCGTTAGGCCGCCCGCCGTGGTCCCGCCGTTACCGCCGTCTTCCGCGTCACAACCGCCGTCGTCGTCTCACCGATCGTGATTGTCTCTCGGAGTTTCGTCCACACTACGGACACCACGTGCGCGCACACTTATGCCGCAGTTGTGCAGACGTCGTCGAATGCCGTAGACACCAAAACGTGGCGAAGAGTGCGGTGCACACGACACTCGCGCCTGCCACACACCCGCCCCAATCCCGCCCGTCGTTGGGCCGAGGATCACGTGACATCTCGTATCACGTGATGGCCATGTACTTGGCGACCCGAGGCCAATGTTGCCGGGCGGAGCCGAAGTTTCGGTTTCGATTTCCGCTCGTGTTTAAAATCAGATTTAAAAATATATATCTCATTTTTCGCGGAGCAAACAACGTAGTTTCTTTTACTAGGGCTTTTTAATTCGAAATCAATCATTATCCCGAAATCTTCGGAATTGAGCGGAGTTGCCCTTTAAATATATAGGTGCAATTTTCACTGATTTGCTTGGTTGAAATTGGTGTATAATGCTTAATCGAAATATTATTTTTTCCCTGAGGTTTAAGGTTTTCATGTTGGTTTGCATTACGATAGAGGTTTCCAAACTAAGGCAGTGTTTTTCATTTGTTCAGTTGAGGAGAAACTGGAGTCAAGAAGTATGAAGGCCTATTCAGCTGCCAGAAGTGCAGGCAGTTCGTCCAGGTAAGGAGTCCGTGAGCTTATACTAACATGTTTTTATTAACTTAAACAGAACTGAACTGATAGAATATATTTTTTTATAAACTACGAGATGTGAGGTGTTGGCTAAAAAATCTCTTGCCAGTGGGAATTTCTGCCATTTTCACCTACAGGTTTGAGCACAGAAAAACGCTCCTTAGTATGAAGGTAAAGAAAGTAACATCTAAATGGCCCCATCTTTCAAAAGTCAGTCTGCTTTCCATTGTCAGCCTTAATTATTAGGGCACCAGTGTGTACATATGGATCTCGCTGGCCGTTTTGAGTTATCTGAAATTAATGTTATGACATGAGTATTTTGTAGCTTTAGTAAAGTTGTAAGAGTATTTGGTAATATGTATTAACTATGATGGATTGTAGCCTGTAGGTCATACTTTTGTTTTTGTTTATAGATTCCCAGCAAGAAGATCCATGGATTCCAAGATTAAGCAGTGGTAAATTTGGGCAATAATTTATAGTGCAGCAGTCTAATGTGACAGTCATGTTTTATATGTCATAATTGGCCTGTCGCTCACACAGAATTTTTAGGCCTGTCCAGTACATGTATGCTATAATATGCTGAGCATTCTTGACTCAACTTGCAAAAGTATTGATAAGAAAATGACTTACAATGGATAACCTATCCACAACTTTACCCAGTGTTACATTTAAAGTTCAATACTTGAGGGACACATGTTTCAGGCTGCATACCACATCGACACGTCCCGGAGACAAGTGTGCAGAGAGCACGAGCAACACCTCCCAATCTTCCAGTAAGCTTGGCCAGAGGACCCCCAGAAGTGCCCAACACTGAGCAGCTAGATTCGCCCCCAAGAGATCCCCCAAGTATCCTCCCAACAGATGACCAACCCAGGAGCTTCCAAAGAGCCACCTCGGGATCCCCATCAGCCACAGGTAAAGTAGCCAAGTTGACTAGGCACCAGTGTTGTTTTAGTGCTCTTTTCAATATTTTGGCTAACTTATGAAATCTTGGCCTCTCCTCAGTGGATGACCCTCAGGCTGTGGGTCATGCTCCTTTTACTGACATCGGTGGTGGCAGGGTAAGCACATAATTAACATGTATTCAAGGTCGCTTCTAAATGATGTTTCTACTACTTCTGTAGTTCCACTTGAAAAGGGGCCTGACGGTTGGCAGCAAGCAAGCAAAGAAAGCCTTTGGACAGACGAAGCCAGCGCTAGTAGCAAAGGACATATCACAAGCAATTTGGGGTCGTCGGGGGCTGGCCGAGCGAACCTATGGGGGTAAATTAGCCCCAAAAGACTATTACAAGTCTGGTGCCACTGCAAGGAAGGAGATGACCCCTGAAAAAGTGGCCCTGGTGATTGGTAAGTTTGCACATATTTTTGGTATGTGTGATCTGTGCGTAATACACTTTGCTTTCTGCTGTCTTGCAGAGACAGTGACATACTGGGGATTCCGAACAGGAATATCTGTGACACACGCCCTCAAGAACATGTCAACTATTCTGTCGCAAAAAACCCAAGATGTGCGCAAGAGCATGAGGCGTTTGGACATGTGAATTGAGCAGAGGCAGGGATCTAAAACAGCTTTTTGTGAGTTAAGGCTCGTTCACACTCTTGCAACTGAGTACGACTGAGAGAGACAAGACCGGTTTTTAATCCTCTTGCGACTTCTTAGGACCAGGCGCGCTGCTGCGGAGCTAGTACTAAGAAGTTGCAAGAGGATTAAAACCGGTCTTGTCTCTCTCGGTCGTACTCAGTTGCAAGAGTGTGAACCAGCCTTTAGGAGTAGGAATGCAATTGTGCTGTAAGAGCTACAAAAAATGCAAACCTTTCAGTTCAGAGCACTGTTCGCCCATGCCTAGTTAGGGGGTCTCTACGGAAGATGCAATATGAACAAGGATAGAGATAAATGGGGATATTGAAGGTTTACCCCTGCACACATCAGTTAAACCTAGAACACCTTTTTTTTTAAATTCTGCCATATGTAAAAAAAATGTGTATTACGCCGCTTTTCTTTGGCATGTACAGTTGGAAACAAAAGTTTCCGGACCACAGGAGCTGTGGCAGATTTGCATTGCTGCGCCCTCTGATGACTCGGCACCTGGCGTCGAGACCGGCGCTTAGCGCATGCACATCCTGCGATGCTTGCAGGGATGCCGGTTTCCTCGTCTGCAACTCCCGATGTCCGATTGTTGACAACCTCTCACATGATGCTGCTTCAGAAGCAGCAGTGGTAAGAGGTGCCCGTGAATCAGCGGAGGAAGGATTCGCAGATCTTACCAGCTTTTACGGTGGCGTGCCTTTTTCGCCAGCTCTTTTCACTCAACCCAACTAGTATCCATTGCCAGTGATAGCATGCCTTCCTGAACGCCGTCTGAATGTTATTGCTTATTATGATAAACTTTATTTTTACATTTAATGTTTCCTTACCTGAACTGATAAACAGTAAAGGATGTAGCAGCAGCGCCACGCGGCATTTTACCAACAATCGAGGCACGGGAGCCGCAAGCGAGGAAATCGGCATCCCTGCGAGTATGGAAGAACGCACAGAGCCAAGCACCGGTCTCAACGCCAGGTGCCGAGTCATCAGAGGGTGCAGCAATGTAAATCGGCCACAGCTCCCGTAGTGTGGAAACTTTTTTCCCAGACTGTACCTATCCTGCAAGAAATATTCTATCCCAATTACCAGTTTGATGTCTCCTGATTTGATATGTTTATTTGAAGTGTTTCCATGTACATGCATTGTTTAGTGAACAGCTCTTGGTTTTAATAATGTGACAGTTAGTGTCTTGTTCATTTTCGTGAATGAAGGTAGACATGATTTTGTTTTTATTTCCTACTTTAGATAGTTTAATTATATTCACTCTGTGATTCTTGACGCTACCATTGTTGAAGTTTTGTTTGTTAATGCTGTCTTAGCAAAGAGGAATTTCAGATGTATATACTTCTTTTGATGTATTCTTTGTATGTGTACATTAAATTTACTTCATCTTCAGAAGTCACTGCAATGCAAAAAAAAAAAACCTTTTTAAACCGTCTGGATAGGACATATATGTCAAAAGTTATTATTGGAGAGAAAGCAACTGAATTGAAGTAATATTTACGGTTCGATACTGATTTTAGTTTGCATCAATTTGTCAAATAGTCACTCTCAAAACTAGCCACCATTTGAAGAATGTCGCACAGATAATACTCTCTAGAAAGACGTGTCGTTCATGGGACTAGACACTACAAAGATTACGTAAACAGCTGAGGAGTCTTTCTCCTTCCAAACAAATGGGAGGCTGCAAAAAGGGTTACTATTAGTTTGACATTTTCCTTCGAATAGTGGCTACAGATGAAGTCAAACTAAAATGGACCTCGCTCCGTACATATTGCTCTAATTAAATTATTTTTCATTTAAAGTGTATTTTGTGATATCTGTGGCCTATACCGACTGTTTGAAACTTTTTTCATTCCAATTTTGCTTTTAAGTAAGGTAACTTAATTTTTTCCCAAGCATGTAGATTTTCTTTATGAAGCATACGTCGTTTTGTACTAGAAAAAGTGGGGCCATGTTAAGTTAATCGAGAATGACTTCTTGACCCGTGTGCTTAATGTAATATGAAAAAAAAAAAGTAAACTGATATAATGTTAATACTTCAAGGCTCATTTGGACTCTCAGGACACATTTCCTTTTGTATTTGCTAATCAAAGGTGTCAAATAAAATATGGATTTACATATTTGACCATGATTATGAAGTCTTTTACGGAAAACACAGCTGGTCTCATTTGAAGTGGGACCGCTTAAAGTAGTCCCACTCCAAATGAGACCACTTCAAGTGGTCCACACATCAAGTGGGACCACTTGAAGTGGTTTCACTTGAAGCGGTCCCATTTGAAGTGGTTCCACTTGCCAAGTGGTGCCTGTTCGATAAACCACTTCAAGTGGGACCTCTTCAAGTGGTTCCACTTGCAACATTTTCACCTGGGAGATCTACTAGTTCCCGACACGGATGTTGTACTACAGACCGTATCCTAAGGGAATACATTAGACCTAGGACATCTCGTCTTTTCTCTAGAGACATTTCATTAGCTTCAGCATAGAGGCTCAGCACAGGAGATGTACGGAACGCACCGGTGGCGAGTCGGATCCCTTCGTGATGGATTGGATCCAACATTTTCAGTGTTGATGCACTCGTTGATCCATACACCAAACATCCATAATCTAGGCGTGACCGCACAATCGATTTATAGAGTCTTAGGAGGCACAGTCGATCGGAGCCCCAAGTCATGTGGGAGAGGACTCCCAGAATATTAAGGGATTTCTGGCATTTTTGTTTTAGCATTTTGATATGCTGGCTGAAAGAGAGCTTGGAGTCGAATATAAGCCCTAGAAACTTATACTCTGTTTTTACCTCAACTGGTGCATTGTATATGGTCAACGAAGGCGTCGGCATCACACCACGTTTTCGTGAAAAACAAACACAAGCAGTCTTCTCCGTGGAGAACTTAAATCCGTTATTGTCAGCCCACCTTGTCACATTATTAATAGTCAGTTGAAGACGCCGTTCGCAGATTGTGAGGTTACATGAGGAAACAGCGATCTGGAGGTCATCTACATACAGCGAGTAGTGGACTGAAGGTGGTATGACACGCGCGATAGAATTGATTTTTATAGCAAACAGAGTAACACTTAGGACACCGCCCTGTGGAACGCCGTTTTCCTGTACGAACCATCGTGAGTGTACAGACCCCAGCCTTACTCGGAAAGTGTGTCTACCTAAATAGCTCTCAATGGCATGGAACATGCGGCCCTGGATACCAATGTCAATCATGTCCCTCAAAATTCCATACCGCCAGGCAGTATCGTATGCTTTCTCAAGATCGAAAAACACAGAGAGGCAGTACTGTCTATTGACGAACGCCTCTCGAACAGTTGTCTCCAATCGAATTAATTGATCCTGCGTAGAGCAGGACGAGCGGAAACCACACTGGTATTTATCCACTGCATCAGTCGCCTATTAATCATTTTTTTGAGGGTTTTACACAAGCAGCTCATCAATGCTATTGGCCTATAACTAGTAGCAGCATCCGAGTTCTTTCCTGGTTTAAGCAGAGGGATAATTGTAGCCGTTCTCCAAGCTGATGGAAAACGTCCCTCCTCCCATATTCTGTTGAAAGGGTATAAGACCAGATCAAGTGTAGACGGGTGGAGATGATTCAACATATTAGGTAGTGGATACCGTCAGGACCCGTTGCCGAGGGCTTGACGCTATGAAGGACCATCTTTAGATCAATAAGAGTGAAGGATCTATTATACGGTTCCCGTGCACCAACAGGTGCCTTTATGGTCCTGGCTTCTTTCTGCTGTTTTAGCCGAAGAAATGATGGTGAATAGTGCCTGGAACTTGAAACAGATTCAAAATGTTTCCCGAGAATATCGGCTTGTTCCTCTAGACTTTCTGGACAGGTTCCGTTGCAGGATAACAGGGGGATGGTGAAAGCACTATAGGATCCACTGATTTTGTTAATTTGGTCCCAGACCTCCTTCGGTGATGTGTGGCTATTTATTGATGTTGAATACCCCTGAAAACTTGTTCTTTTCGATTGCCGGCAAATGTACCGTGCACGGGCCTTCAATTGCTTGAAGTGAAGACGATTGCTTGATGTCGGATACCGTAAAAATATGCTCCATGCCTCGTTTTTTTTTTTTTGCGATTCTGAGCATTCTTCATTCCACCAAGGCTTGGGACGGTGTGGGAGGCGTCCCGAGGTCATGGGGATTGCCATTATGGCCGCCTGAACGATACAATTCGTTAAGTATTCATTCACTTCATCAATTGAAAGCTTGTCAAGAGATGTGCATGCGAGCAGTGAGAATTCACTGAATTCTGACCAATTTGCCTTCTCAAATTTCCAGCGGGGAGTCCGGCAGGGGAGGGTTGCACCTGGGTTATTTCATCTTAAAATAATCGGCATGTGGTCACTGCCTAAAGGATTATCTGTAACCTGCCATGTAAACAGTGAAAATAAAATAGGCTCACTTATAGAGAGGTCAATTGATGTAAATGAGTTTGTGGGTGCACTAACATATGTAGGTTTCTTCTCGTTAAACAGACACAAATTTGTAGACAAAATAAACCGTTCAACAATTGCTCCACGAGTATCGCGTCTAGCACTGCCCCACAATGGATTGTGTGCATTAAAATCGCCAAGAATAATGAATGGATGGGGGAGTTGAGCAATGAGTGACTCAAGGTCTTCACACCTTAAATGAAAGTTTGGAGGAATATAAAGTGAACAAAGGGTTATCAGGCGGTCTGACAGAATGCGAACAGCCACTGCCTCCAAGGTGGTCGGCACCGGAACCACCACACATGCCGCTGATTTTTGCACTACTATGGCCACGCCGCCAGAAGAGTAGGACGAGTGATCTCTATCCTTGCGGAAAAAATGAAAGTGCCTAAAGACACTTGACTGACTCCCCTTCAGGTGAGTTTCCTGGAGACACACTGCCAGTGGACAATATTCCTCCAACAGAGAGCAAACATCGTCATAATTATGCAAGAGACCT